ATCTACATTGAGTGGCTCTTGGATCTTGTACGGGGTTAACATTATTGAAAATAAAGTGTATCATTTATCTTTAGCCTTCGAGTTTCTTACTTGTCTATTGTGTCTACCTCATATTAATGTTCTTGGCAAAGACATGGATTTATCTTGCCCCGCCACCAGTTAAGAATTAAATCGTAGAGTAGACTAGAGTGTCTAGTCATGAGTGGTGCCCAATCTTGAAGGGAGTCTGTTGTGAATTCTAAAATGCGGAGAAAACAACGGGAATCTTATCAAAGATGACAATTACTTTTCAATATATCAACCAATACAATACAATATGATGATTTCCTTTCGTCCTTCAATAATAATGTTATTAAGCTTATCAGACAATATGAAAGGAATTTGCTTAAAATAAATAGACAAAACTTGTCTATATTATTTTATGAAACACGCATCAATGAAAAATTGCTGCCTATATATATATATATATATATATATATATATATATATATATATATATATATATATATATATATAATATTAGTGGTAAATATACATATACATATGCAAAATATATAAAAAAAATATATACATAGGTGCATACACATACATGTATATTTTTTTAATAAAAAATCTAAGAGGATAGAATCCAGGTAGAACTGAATGTCCAGGACAAAGTAAGGATATTATAAAAAGGCTTAAACACTAATATTCCATGGTCAATTTCAATTTTACTTTCCTTCGCCCCATCTCTCTTCCCCACCTCTTCTTTCCTTTCCTCTCCCTCCCTCTTATTCTGATCTTCAACATTAGATCGTCTATGGTGTGTGTATGTCACCACGAAATGTATCTTTATATATTAGACATCCGACAACTTTCATATTTCTCTTACTTAAACCCCTTCCACTCACCTCTCCTAAAATCCTCTCTCTTAAGGTTTAATCTCCCACCTTCTCTCGTCTGTTACCCCTCTCTTTAGCTCTAACATTTGTCCCACATTCTCATACTTACACTCTCTCTAAATTCTGTTTTTATTTCCGGAGTTGTTTTTTTTTTGTTTGTTTTTTTTTGTTTTTGTTTTTGTTTTTTTTGTTTGTTTGTTTGTTTTTTTTTTAATTTGTAGGTCTGATGAATTGGATCGTATTTACGATTCCAATGGAATAAATTATGACCATGGAATATTAGTGTTTAAGCCTTTTTATTATATATATATATATATATATATATATATATATATATATATATATATATATATATATAAATTCATGAATCATTGATACAAAAAACAAATATAGAGGTTAATGATTTAAATGGCGAGAATACATCTTCGCAAACAATATAAATAAGATACATCAACCCCGAACATCTATATGAATGATATGATCCCTGTTCATAAATTCCAGTTGCATAAGGTCTTTTAATTTTTACAAGCTTTCGTCTGTTCCTACAGACATCCTCAGGTATGGAAATAGATTTTGTTCTTGTTTTTACTTCTCGGTAATAAGAGGACAACGAAAATAGAGATGTAATCCGAAAAAATGCTATGAGAAATGTGTTATTGTTTTGGAACGTGCGCTCGCAACGCTGAGTTTGAATTTTAAATTTTAAGGTTGTGCGTTTTGTACAAAAAGAGAATTCTTTTTTTACTGGTAGATTTTCCGTCTATGTGGCATGAACTATATTGTTCAATAATTACAGTAATGTCACACTTATTATCCGAAAGTTGCACGTTGGATCAGTTATTTTAATTTCAATTAAAGGTGCAATTATAATTTATAAATTAATGAATATATATATATCGTTTTTGGCGTATGTATGTACATATGCGTACATATTAGTGGGAATGCATCTGTATGTATATATATATCTGTGTACAAGGCCACAATAACGGTACTAGGGGAAAATTATAGACACTACAATTGCGATTTAGTTTGACATAGGAAGACAACAGTAAATGTGCGTATAATAAAAACTTTAATTCATTACAATAGCGAATAGTTTTTTCCAGACAAGCTTGCTAACCGCAATATACTTTTGCGTCTTCGTGTATGTGAATGTGTATATGTATGTGTCTTTATCCGTGCATGCGTATGTGCGTATTTGCGAGAACAAGAGAGTGAGTGTTTCGCTTTCTTTAGCATTATTATCATTTATTCTTGAATAACATTGATTGTGCACAATCGACTCAAAAATATTCAAGATCGCCCAAGGGTTCACATCTTCTTCCCAACCGTCTTTTTCTTGTTTTTTTGTTTTCAAAGTTCCATTCTTTTTCCAACACCTCCTTCAAACAATTTATCCATTCCCAGAATCATTTCTACCTTCCATCATTCTTTCTATCAAATTAGTGAAAGCAGAACACATGGATACGGATAGAAAATAAATTCAGTAAATAGGCAAAAATAGAAAGTGGCGTAAGACAAGGATGTGTCTCCTCACCGGACTTATTCAATCTATACAGTGAGGCGATCTTGAGAGAATTAGAAGTCCTACAAGGATTTATTATTAACGGACTCACTGTTGACAACATAAGCTATGCAAATGTCACAGTGTGTGTAACAGACAAAGAAAGAAGACTGCAGGGACTCCTGCAGAAGGGAGTGCAAAGTAAAGTGTAAACATCAAACACATTGAATAGTCGCCAGTAAAAGGGAGGATTCGAGATAGGTCAGATCAAATGACGGTTTCCCATAAAGAATGCAGATTAGATTTCTACTGAAGGATTTCTCGAATATTCAGGACACTACATATGGTTGTATAAAAAAACAATGTTTTCTTAAAAAACAGGGCTTCTACTCGAATATGGGTATCCATCAAAAATAGCGTTTAAACAAAATAACACACACACACACACATATATTCGACTCTATCTATCTATCTATCTATCTATCTATCTGTCTGTTTATTAAATCCAGAGTTACGTCGAGGAAGTTTACCCTTTTTAATTTTGTACAGACTGTTGTAAAATGGAAAATTATAAACAAAACTAGAACTTGTAAAACTTGGGATGTCCCATGACCTTTATGCCTACATGAAAAACTACACATTATCAAGTTTCTAAATAATGAAAATTTATTAAACAATAGACATGAGTTAACGGTTTTTTGCCGACATCATCAAATTTTCGCATTAAATAACTAGCATAAAAAACAAACAAACAATAAAATAATAAATACAAATTATAAAATCCATTGTCTAAATAAAAAGTTTAAAAGCCTTTCAGGAAAAAATAAAAAATAAAATAAATAAATAAATAAATCTCCATAGACACTTAACTTAATTTAGACACCCCAACCTTACCCTGACTTGACTTCTTTGAATGTAACTGAGATATTGATACAAATTATTAACCATTACACCCCTTTTTTTTAAATAATTGCTCTAGCCGTTACCATAGTAATTTTAATTTTAATAATGAATATGCTTATAAAACGCGTAAATTTCAAGAATTAGTTATTAAAAAAAAAAATTCACTTGAAGATGGAACAGAGCTTGGTACTTTAATTCTATTTAATTCAAATAATTATATTGAAGTTTTCCGCTCTTGTTTTGAAACATGAGAACTCTTATGTAGCGATGGAATCATATTTTTAAATAAATAATTATATATATATATATATATATATATATGATAAAATATACTTTTAAGGTATGCCTTATTTATGGGTAAAAGTACTCAGTATCAGGAATAGAGCGTATGTAAATATAAAAGTTGATGTTGAGGTTAACAATGATTCAAATTGTCTTAACACTGGATATTGGGAGCTGATAATCTAAGGTAATTTAATTTGATTTATGTTTCCCACTTATCCTCAGAGATCCCAAGGCATTTTCCTCATAAAGAGTTTTGTCTTTTTTTCATACTAACCTGAGGAAGCCAAAGAGCACCTACGCTTTCCGGCGAACCGCGTCGTTAATAAATTTTTCCCTTCGTCTACTCATCTTCATCTGTGAAAAAAAAAATTCTATAAAAATATTTTGTTGTTTCTCTACTACCCACAATCTTCAAAAATGTAAATCAGCGTCAGTGGCCATCTTGTCTTCCTGAACCCTATTCTTTCCTCACTCCTGCCAAATAAAGTCTTCTGATTCTCTTCCACTTTCTGTAACCCCCTGCATCCTAGTGGCATTATCGCTTTGCCTCGGGTGAAATGATTTAAAAAAAAAATGTAAATAACACATATACGAGAAGGGTTTAAAAAGTTATCTGGTTAATACTCTTGTCTAAATCTGACCAGACGACCAAATGTCAAATTGCCAAATCAGGAAAGTTTCACCACCTCTTTGTGTCTGTGTATCATTTTAGTTTTACAGCCTCATAATTCGCAAATTTCTTGTCATCTTTACAACATTCTCCCCCTTGTAACACGCTCAATTTTCTCGCTATGCACGTCATTTTCCGTCTTCTCGTTTTTTGTTTTTTTTCATTTTATTTTATTTTTATTTTTATTTTTTTTTTTTGTTACGCCCAATCTCCTCGAATGGAATTTCTTTTTATTTGACAACCATTTTCATCCCATTTTCTTCCCGCCTTGACGTCTGCTTTCTTTCCGCCTAATTTAACCATTTCATTTTTTTGTTTTCCTTGTTTCTCTTTTTTATGACAAACATCGCATCTTTCCTAAGCCTCCATAATACATCCCATAATTCCATCCACAAAATGGCCGACTTCTTGTCAATTTGTCTTTCGTTTATTTCAGTCATCGACAGAAAAGAAAGAAAGAAATACAAATAATTTCTTACACTCGAGGCTTTTTACAACGCGTCTTTTGTTTCCTTTTCAGTAATTTTCCCAAAGTTATTTTTTCATTGAAATTTCAATAAATTCATTAACAGAGTCGAAAGAAATATTTTTTTGTTTTAATTTTAAATTGTTACAAGTTTGTATTTTTTCAGTATTTTTTTTTGTATTTTTTTTTTATTTGTTTGTTATGTTTTTATTGTTTTTACCCAGATTTTTTTAAATTTTAATTTTCTTTTGTGGTGAGAAAGGAAGAACACATAAGAATAAAACTCTGAGAATGCTGCCGGCTTCTGCGAAACTTATGTTCCAATCCTTCAACATTGTCCCAACACAAAATCTAAACGCACTCCCCAGCGCCCGCATCATAACAAAGAAGATAGAAATGAACAATTAGATTTTGACATTTTTCATAGCAAACAAAAGATATTTAGACTTCCATTCCCTCTTTTTCTTTTCCCAGTTGAATTTATTTGTCTGACGATATTTCTTTATTTCTATCTATCTATCTATCTATCTATTAATCGTGCTATTTATATCTATCTATCGTGCTGTTTTCAATATCTCTCCATCTATTCATCTATCCATCTATCAGGCTATTCATATCTATCTGTCGTCTGTTTATCTATCTCATTCTGTTCATTATCTATCTATCTATCTATCTATCTATCTATCTATCTATCTATCTATCTATCTATCATATCTATTTATCAGGCTGTTTTTCATATCTATCTATCTATCTTTATCACTATCTATATATATATATATATATATATATATATATATATATGTATGTATGTATGTATATATCAGGCAATTCATATCTATCTACCGTGCTGTTTTCATTATCTATCTATCTATCTATCTATCTATCTATCTATCTATCTATCTATCGTGTTGTTTCATTATCTACCTATCTACTTATCAGGCTATTCATATCTGTCTATCGATATTTGGGCAGCAGTACTTCTTTTATATATGTTTCGTTGAATATGACGAACAATGAAATTCTGCAATGTTTTTTTGGTTTTTTTTATTCTTTTTTTTCATGTGTTCTTGGCGTTTTTTCTTTTACGTGGGTAAATTCCCAAATGATTATTGTCCCACGCGATTTTTGTCTATTTCTGTAGCCATTTTCCGGTAGGTGGAGTAATTTTTGCCGTTAGTGTATTTTTATGTTTTGCATTAATAAAATCATCCACATATCCACTTCACGTTTCTTACTTTAAAACCAGCCAAAACCTTGTGGCTGTTTCCTCGACGGCCGATACGTTCCGACGTCTCCTAAATAACACAATATGGAATACAAACACGAACAATGAGAATTACATTTGAGGGGTGTATGTATTTCTTTCAATTTCACTGAAAATGAAATGGCCAGGGCCAAAGTTAATGTTTTTTCTCGAGGTTTCGGGGCAGGAATATGTGTGAAAAGCCTGCACTTAGGCGTTTGCTTGTTATGTTACTGGCCAAAAAATAAATAACCAATAATGCTTCCTATGTATTTCCACGAAATATATGGTATTGATTAAGAGGGAAAATACTTGTAGCTGAAAACTTGCTCCATCCAACGGTGTTTATATGCTCCTTGCATTCGTTATTGTTTTCGGGGATATAAGTGGCATTACTTTCGAAGCTTCTGTGATGAAATAAAAATTCTAAAAACAATATAAAAAGATTGACGAGTTGAAAAAAATTCAACTGAATTATTCTAATCAGCAATAATTTTTTTTTTTTAATTTAATTTTCTGGAAAGGGTGATAGTTTTTTGGGGAGGGGGTTGTTGATTTGTGTCTATTTTTTTTAAATACATTTTTTTTTTTTAATTTTGGGGCGTTTTTATTTTTTTTACTTTTTGTTACGGCGGTTTTCCTGATTTTTTTGTGTCTTCGATTCATTTTTACAGCGTTCGTTTTTCGTTTTTTTTTCTTTCTTTACAACGTTTCGCTTTTTACACCGTTTCGTTTTTACACCGTTTTGCTTTTTACACCGTTTCATATTTCCTCCTTTTATTTTTAGTTAATATTTTTTTTTTCTCCAAATTTCAAAACTGATTTTCTCTTAAGCATTTGTTCACATTGCATCGCATATAGAAAGATATAATTTCAAGGAATACTTTCTGTATATATAAGATAGGTCTGAAGTTAATTTTCTTTAATAATGTCTTATTAATAATTTCAACTTTCATTTGCAATATGAATTTTGAAAATTAATTTTTTTTATAATTTTGAATTAATTAATTTTAGTTATCCAATTGTGTTAAGAAGGAAAGTCGTTCAGAGCCATAATCTCCCACGTCCTGAAGGAACATGATTCATAGAAAAACTGAATAAAAAAATAATTCTTAGATTTATACTCAAAATTCCCGATGACGTGGAAAGTGTAGCAAATGTTTAAAAAAAGAAATCTTTATAGATTTTGCGATTGGCATGAGATGAAGACTTTATGGACAATACTGGGAGTAGACAGAAAAAAATTACAAAAAAATAAAAAAATATGAAAACAAAAATTTGATATTATAATTAATTTCGATTTTAATTCATTTTAAAATACAAAGGATTTCATTACGATTACTTGAAATTTTTTGAAGGACAAATTAGAAATTTCTTTTTAAGCGTTTTTATATGAACATATTTTGAACGATTGTTTTGAATTTTATGGGGTTTTTAACCGTTCCGCGTATTTCAATTTTTCAAATCGATTTGTAGTATTTAGATATGTTTAAATGTAAAATAATTTATTATGTTTTTTTCTAAAAAGCGATGTAACTATCTGATTTTGTTCATATCAATCTATCAATTTTTTCATATATATTTGAGTGTTTGTATTCCATATTGTGTGAATTTCTTTTCATTTTTCATTTCAGCTTTTGGAAGTAAAGTCTGATGATCAAGAACCCTGTTAAAGAGGTTATGGTGAAATAGCTTATTACATGGAATCTTAACGTGGTCTGTCTTTTATTCAAATATATATATATATATATATATATATATATATATATAGATAGATAGATAGATAGATAGATAGATAGATAAAAAAAAGTTTTTCATATCTATCTCATTTTGTACATACAATCTATCTATCTATCTATCTATCTATCTATCTATCCCAGTCTGTTCATATCTATCTATCTATCCCAGCCTGTTCCTATCTATCTATCTCAAGCGTGTCAAATATTCCCTTTAACATACTATATATTTCTTATTTAGCTCTGCCGTCTGATATTTGGCACATATCAAGTTTTAAATTCTAGCAATTAGAATTAGAATTATCACCGCAGTTATTTATTTATCTTTCTCTCACTCTCTCTCTCTCTCTCTCTCTCTCGTGCTATTTAACCCTCCTTTTTCCCTCTCTTTCTCTATATCTGTCTCTCTTTACGTGTGTTCATTATCTATCTATCTATCTATCTATCTATCTATCTATCTATCTATCTATCTATTAGCTAATAAACCTGTTTTCCACTACTATTTTTAATATGTGTAGACAGAGTTTGTATTTTTTTGTTTTTTTGGCGCTAGATGGTCATCTTACTTATGTTATCTTGTTTTGACTTCCAGCTGTGTTAAGCTAACATCATTAAAGATCCTTCCCTTTGTAGCGGGCCGTGTATTTGTGAGATGACCATGTGTATCTCCTGAAATAGTGCCCACAACAAATATTGCAGACTCTGAATGATTCCACCCAAAGTTACAAACAATTATTTCGTCTTCAAGTTTTAACTTTAAAGGAAAAAATTACAGCCTGACGATGAAGGAATGATTCTTCAAAAGTACTTGCTTAACTTAAAAAAATATACACTAGAAACATCTGACAACAGTTTTATAAATGAGGATCACATCATTCAATGGATTAACAGTATTTTAATGTATATATTATGTTTCTACTAGCGAAGTGATTTCGCTATTAATCGCATTAATGTTGCTGATTGAGTCTATGTATGATTATTTCTTTATATATAAAATATATGCTGCCTAATATTATATATTTATAAAAAAAGAATTGATCCTGCAGTATGAAATTTCTGAGAAAAAATCTACTAAGGCATATCACTATATTAATTGAAATATATACTTATTTCATGTCATATTAACTGAAAAACACTTGTAAAAAAAGAATTCGTGGATTTACCATATTACAAAATTCAGATAAAAATTTTCACTTGAAATTTTGAACTTTAGCGTTGCGACTCGCACGTTCCGAGATTGTAGAACCGTCAATAAATAACACATTCTTAAAAAACATCGTTCGGTCTACAAACAATTATTTCGTCTTCAAGTTTTAACTTTAAAGGAAAAAAATTACAGTCTGAGGATGAAGACATGGATCTTCGAAAGTACTTGCTTAACTTAAAAAATATACACTAGAAACATCTGACAACAGTTTTATAAATGAGGATCACATCATTCAATGGATTAACAGTATTTTAATGCATACATTATGTTTCTTCTAGCGAAGTGATTTCGCCATTAATCGCATTAATGTTGCTGATTGAGTCTATGTATGATTATTTCTTTTTTTATATATATATATATATATATATATATATATATTAGTATAATTGTGTGTGAGGACGTGTGTACCTTCATTTGTACTTGTATATGTGCGTATATATATATATATATATATATATATATATATATATATATATATATATTAAATTCCGTATATCTAATTCATCTTCATAATTATAAAATACATCATATATATGTATATGTGTGTGTGTGTGCATGTGTGTGTACAAACAGGTATATGTGTATTAACAAACAGTAAGGGTTACAATTAACGAAGACTCTATGAATGTGTATGAATGAACGTATAAAGTTTGTGGTCAAAGTATGCGTGGGAATGTTCGTACGTATGTGCGTGCGTGTGTATGTATGTTTCATTGCGTTTCCCAAAGAAAAAGCATAGTGCCCCCCCCCCCGGAGAAAGGGAGAAAACACAATCTTCACGAGAGATTACATTGTTGTAATGTCCGCTGAAAATGAAAAGTCAAAGAGAGAATGAGGTAGGGTCTCGGTCAAGTATATTAAGTGTTGGGAGAGCGCCCCCTAGTGAACAATTTGGACAATTAGGAAATTAAGGAGGAGTTAACTCCGACATCTTCACAGAGCTATCAAGAAGCGAAAAATTGTTTATGAGCCTATAAAAACATGCGAATTATTTTATCACATAAGGTCATGATACTATCTATCTATGGTCGGTGCGTACTATACACCGACAGGAGTAGGAAGCAACCCTAATTGGGAGCCTAGGGCAATGCTTTGTGACCCTCTCTGTCTTATCAACACTTGCTTTTTAATACCCACATTTATATATAAATTTACAAAGTAAACTAATCTCTATTAAGTGACTATTAAAGGATTAAACATTTTCGCGGATTTTGACGTCATTCCGGTGTCTTTTTTAATTCGTCCAAATTCGGGAATTTGTTTTGAGCATGCTAAATCTTGAACAAAACACTATATAAAATTTATTATTTTTTATCCATAATGTTGAATGTGTTAAACAACATGAAAAATATCAAGTTGACCTTCTGCTTCGTTTCCTTTTTTCATCTTCTTGCTCTTCTCCTCCCCCCTTCTTATTCTTCGTTTTCTTATTCTTCTTTTACTTTACCTCCTTTCTCTTCGTCTTCGTATTTTCTTCTTTTCTTTTTCAACTTCTTCTTCTTTTCTTCTTCTTCTTCTTCTTCTTCTTCTTCTTCTTCTTCTTCTTCTTCTTCTTCTTCTTCGTTTCCTTCTTCTCCTTTTACTTTATCTTTATCTTTTCCATTTTTGTTTTCTTCTTCAACTAATTCCTTTTCCTTTTCCTTTTCTTTTTCTTCTTCTTTTTATTCGTTTCGTTCTTCTTCTTCTTTTACTTTATTTCCTTTCTCGTCTCGTATTTTCTTCTTCTTCTTCTTCTTCTTCTTCGTCGTCGTCGTCGTCGTCGTTTTCTTCACCTTTCTTCTTTTTCTTTTTCATCTTTTATCTTTTCATTTTGTTTTCTTCTTCTTCTTCTTTTACTTTACCTCCTTTCTCTTCGTCCGTATTTTTTTCTTTTCTTTTCCTTTTCTTTTTTCTTCTTCTTCATTTTCATTCTTTTTTCTTCTTCTTCTTCTTCTTCTTCTTCTTCTTTCTTTTCTTCTTTCTTCTTCCTTTTTCTTTATCTTTATCTTTTCCTTCTTCTTCTTTTCCTTTTCTTTTCTTTTTCTTCTTCTTCTTTTTATTCGTTTCGTCTTCTTTTACTTTATTTCCTTTCTCTTCGTCTTCGTATTTTCTTCTTCTTCTTCTTCTTCTTCTTCTTCTTCGTCGTCGTCGTCGTCGTCGTTTTCTTCACCTTCTGCTTCGTTTTCTTTTTCATCTTCTTGCTCTTCTCCTCCCCCTTCTCATTCTTCGTTTTCTTCTTCTTCTTTTACTTTACCTCCTTTCTCTTCGTCTTCGTATTTTCTTCTTTTCTTTTTCAATTTCATCTTCTTTTCTTCTTCTTTTCTTCTTCTTCTTCATTTTCATTTCTTCTTCTTTTTCTTCTTCTTCTTCTTCGTTTCCTTCTCCTTTTACTTTATCTTCATCTTTTCCATTTTTGTTTTCTTCTTCAACTTATTCGTTTTCCTTTTTGTCTGTAATTTGTTTTTTTAGATACATTGTATTTATTTTCAGTTTTTCTAGTTGAATTGTTCACTTGTCGTGATGGGGTTCGAACAAATATTTGTACACATACAAATTTTTAATTTATTGTATTTCCAACTAACGAATAAACATACTTTTCATATAATTAACTGTACACAGATGCATAATAACTAAATATGCATAGAAAAGAGAAAAGAAATTGATTTAATCGAAACCATGTATGGAGGAAAGATGGCGATGCCTTCAAACAAAGAACACCGTTCTAACAGTGAAATTTGGTAGTAGCAGCATCATACTTGGGGTTGTTTTTCTGCAAAAGGTACTGGCAACATATATATAGAATGAATGCTGAAGCATATCAAAATATTTGGGAAGCAAATTTAATGATTTCGGTTAAAAATCTTGAACTTCCTTCTGATTGTATCTCCCAACAAGATAATGAGTCTAAGCACACTGCAAAATCTACGAAGAAATGTCTTTCTGAAAATAATGTAAATATCCTGAAATAGCCAAGTCAGTCCCCAGAATATAAACCCAATCGAGAATCTGTGGCGTTATTTGAAATTTCAAATCCAATCGAGAGCTCAACAAACATCCTGGTTCTGAAGACCATATGCAAAGAAGAATGGAACAAAATACCAACTAAAGTTTGCAAATATTTAATTGAGAATTACAAGAAGAGGTTGGTTGCTGTAGAAGTGAATAATGGCTATTCTACAAAGTATAAAATGAAGATTATGTATTCTTTTTTGTAATGTACGAATACTTGTTTAATCCATTACAATCGATAAATGGGATTTATTTCTATTAAATCATTTTTCTTTCTCTCCGATTCCCCAATCCGATCAGCTATCCATTGCTCCACCGTGTCTCCATTTGCCTATAGCTGGTGCCCTAACAGATGCTACCACCCCGATTCAAGATAGACCTGGAAACAATAGCATTTAAGAGGTGGTTCCACTCTCCTCAAAACCTCCAATCTCCCGAAAAGAGGCCTTGTTGCCGGATGTAGTATATCGTCATTCCCATTACTTTCAACGATATTATGGCGACGTTATAACAAAGTTGCAATCGACTATTTGTTTTTTGACCCCAAACTGACAGATCCTCCCCAACATCATCATGTCGTTGTGATACCGTTGTGACTGAAAAACTCCGCACTGCGCAGATATAAAAACAGAATACTTTTTCTTCATTTAATATTAATTATAATAGATATAAATTGTCTTTTCGTATATTTTAAAATTAAGACACTACATTATATTGTTAATAACATGTTCTAATTAAGTCTCTTCTAGTGATTTATTGTCTATTTTCTGTTCATGTTACCTTACAAAGGAACATATTGCAAGGTTTTTTCGGCACGTTTTGTGAGTCAATAAAAAACGTTATTGCAATCTCTGTGTAAAATTGCAGAGATAATTTGCAGCAACGGCATTTTGTTAGATGAGTAAACCAATAGGAGTAGGTAAGTTGGCCTATCGCCTGGTTCACACTCCTCCTCTGGAATTTGAACAAGAGTAGAGATTTATCCATTGTTTCCTGCCTAGGATTGGTTTCCGGTTCTTTCCTAAATTCTTCCAAAGTTATTCGTAGTTTCCGATTCTTCAGATCTGTATTCCTAATGTCCACGCCTGAAATCTGAAAGTTTATGTAATTTTTTCTCTCCTCCACCAATACGAATAGATAGTCCTGTTCACACACCTTCCCTATCTTTTAAACAGGGGTAGAGGTTTATTCCTTGTTTACTGATTAGGATTGACTCTCTCGTTCCTTCTAATGTCTTCTTCAACTCTATAGAGCCAATGTCTTTGAATTTCTATTTTCTAATTATTTTTTTTCCTTCTCTCCTAATAAGAGTTGATAGGTTCACCTAACGTCGTGTTCACACTCCACCTAGGTCTTCTGAACAGGGGTAGAGGTTTATCCCTTGTTTACTGATTAGGATTGACTCTCTCGTTCCTTCTAATGTCTTCTTCAACTCTATAGAGCCAAGGTCTTTGAATTTCTATTTTCTAATTATTTTTTTCCATCTCTCCTAATAAGAGTTGATAGGTTCACCTATCGTCCTTTTTACACTCCACCTAGGTCTTCTGAACATGGGTAGAGGTTTATCGCTTGTTTACTGATTAGGATTGACTCTCTCGTTCCTTCTAATGTCTTCTTCAACTCTATAGAGCCAAAGTCTTTGAATTTCTATTTTCTAATTATTTTTTTCCATTTCTCCTAATAATAGTTGATGGGTTCACCTATCATCCTTTTCACACTCCACCTAGGTCTTCTGAACAGGGGTAGAGGTTTATCCCTTGTTTACTGATTAGGATTGACTCTCTCGTTCCTTCTAATGTCTTCTTCAACTCTATAGAGCCAAGGTCTTTGAATTTCTATTTTCTAATTATTTTTTTCCATCTCTCCTAATAAGAGTTGATAGGTTCACCTATCGTCCTTTTCACACTCCACCTAGGTCTTCTGAACAGGGGTAGAGGTTTATTCCTTGTTTACTGATTAGGATTGACTCTCTCGTTCATTCTAATGTCTTCTTCAACTCTATAGAGCCAAGGTCTTTGAATTTCTATTTTCTAATTATTTTTTCCATCTCTCCTAATAAGAGTTGATAGGTTCACCTATCGTCCTTTTCACACTCCACCTAGGTCTTCTGAACAGGGGTAGAGGTTTATCCTTGTTTACTGATTAGGATTGACTCTCTCGTTCCTTCTAATGTCTTCTTCAACTCTATAGAGCCAAGGCCTTTGAATTTCTATTTTCTAATTATTTTTTTCCATCTCTCCTAATAAGAGTTGATAGGTTCACCTATCGTCCTTTTCACACTCCACCTAGGTCTTCTGAACAGGGGTAGAGGTTTATCCCTTGTTTACTGATTAGGATTGACTCTCTCGTTCCTTCTAATGTCTTCTTCAACTCTATAGAGCCAAGGTCTTTGAATTTCTATTTTCTAATTATTTTTTCCATCTCTCCTAATAAGAGTTGATAGGTTCACCTATCGTCCTTTTCACACTCCACCTAGGTCTTCTGAACAGAGGTAGAGGTTTATCCCTTGTTTACTGATTAGGATTGACTCTCTCGTTCCTTCTAATGTCTTCTTCAACTCTATAGAGCCAAGGTCTTTGAATTTCTATTTTCTAATTATTTTTCCTTCTCTCCTAATAAAAGTTCATAGGTTCACCTATCGTCCTGTTCACACTCCACCCCAGTCTTTTGAACAGGGGCAGAGGTTTAACCATTGATTACTATTTAGTACTGGGCTTCCGGTTCCTTTTAAAGTCTTTCAATTCTCATTCACTACCAATACCCCATCTCAACCTGCGTCTTAGTGGCATTATTGCCTTGCTTGTTGTGAATTGGTTAAAAGAAGTATGTTTATTTTTATGAACAGGGAACGAACATTTTCCAGTCACCTATCTGTTTAATCTATCTTCTTGCGTTCTAGAGCAACCAGAATGATAACATATTGTTCGGGTGAGGGGGGGTTGTCCCAGATGTTATGCACAATTTTATGTAAATAAGGTGTTACGTGAGTGACTAGATTAACGCATACTGAAGGCTTTCTGTCAAAGTGTAATAAAACTAAGTTCATATCGACGCGATGGATGGCAACGAAAAAAATGAGAGATGGGGTGGGTGGTAACGCCTCTCTCTCACCCTCTGTGTGTGTGTGCGTGTGTGTTTGTGTGTTTTTATGTGTGTGTGTGTGTGTGTGTGTGTGTGTGTGTGTCTTGCCCGCGCGCATGCGCCCTGCGACAGAAAGAGGCTTTGCTTTTTTTTTCTTTTTTTTTTTTTTTTCATCACGAAATTGTATCAGTTTCCAAACCTTGGCTCCAGATTGTGACGTATGGAACAAAAACAATCCATTTATTTCCAGATATCGACTCAAAACTCCTTCCAACTCTAGGGAAATGGCCGTCTTCTTGCAATCAGTTTTCAGATGACAGTTACTGTACATTTTTTCTAGTCCTGGACATCTGAGCATATGTATATGCAAATACAGTAAGAGTGCAGACAGACATGCACACACACACACACACACACACACACACACACACACACATATATATATATATATATATATATATATATGTGTATGTTTCATGTACACATATAGTATAATCTATAAAACATTAAAATAAGCACAATGAAATAAATCTCTCTTACACACACACACACACACACACACATATATATATATATATATGATTTTAAAGATATATATGGAAATGTTGAGAAAGATGGATATTAAGATTAACAGATTGAGACAGATGTGAACATAAATAGGAACAGATTGAGATAGATAGATAGATAGATAGATAGATAGATAGATAGATATGGAAATTGGCGTAACAGATATATGCACGGAAAAAAAACTTGACAAGACTAGATTTATCAGCTGATGATGTCTATTTCTGCCGGCCTCTCTCAAATGCCCATTGGAAAGGCATGAAAGCCTATTTCCCTGCGTTGTGCCAGATCGTCTTTTATATTTACAAATGGCTTTGTTAAGGCTAATGCGGGGAAACCGAGCACTCGGCTAAACTGCTATACTTGGAAACACACCGGTTTACCGATACACGTATATGCTTATGCGACGGGGAGGATGGGGGCGTATGCGTTGGGGTGCGTTTAGGTGTGTGTGTGTTTGAACAGCAGGGATTATGTCTTTTTCTTAATTTCTCAAACGGTTTTAAAGATGTGTTTTTTTTTTTTTTTTTTCGGCTGGAGCAGCAACTCCTATTAGAAGTCATGTGTTTTCAACACGGTGTCTTCTGATAGATATTACGGCTCCAGCCGACAAAAAGTTATGTTAAAAACATTTTTCACAATTATGTCTGTTCGATTTGCCTAGATTTCCTTATCAGTGTGAACGCTGAAATTCCCGAGGATGGTGACGTCATCATTCTGTACAACTTGTGCTGGATTATGTCCCCACCAACTTTCTTTCCGAGGGAGCTTGCATGCGCAACATATTGGCAAATGTATGCACTGAGCAGACCTATCATATCGATGCAAGGATTATTATTATTATTATTATTATTATTATTATTATTATTATAGAGTGGAAGGAAGATAACAACTGAAATATATCTTTCCTTTAAATATACAGGCTTCTAGTTGTCGAGTCTATAACAAATAAACATAAACATTAATTACACTGTCACTTTGTCGTGTCCAATAAAAATAAATAAATAAAATTAAATATACAGTGACAAATTATAATAAAATAATTATAACATTTATAATTTCTTTAATTCACTCTTTCTCAACCAATGAGAATCAAGCGCACTCTACTTTTCTACCAAACAAAAACACGTAATATCCTCATTATCGGACAGGCATCAACACGTGAGTTGAGAAAATTTTCGGCTCCTTTTCCTTTCCAGGCCACAACATTTGTATCTTAACACTTATAACCCAAATATGGGGTAAGAAAACTATAGACACTTCTCTTATTTTCCAAGTAAATTATAATCACTACACACATATATATATATATATATATATATATATATATATATATATATAGTAAAAGGTAATAAATCAATTGGTATATAATCTAAGCGAATCCTAGTAATATAACATATTAAAACTGATCCACAAATAGAGCTCAAAATATTTATTATTACAGATGAAAATTTTAGTACACAATAAAATCCAAAATTAACTCATATGGGGAATAGGCTTATTTCAACCGACGAAATTTTTCAGTCTTATTCAACCCCGGTGTATAGACTGTGTTCGTGTCGGAATTAAAACAAAAAAAAACATCGTAAAATAATTACAGAATTTATCCATTTTGTAATTGTATAGATTTTTGTATATATAATTTTTTGTAAATATTATTAATCGGAAGTCTATACGCACTGAGGAGCTGTGATATAGCGAAACGGGCCTGTATGTGAATTACAGTATTATGCTCTCGATAATTTCAGTTGGGCACTGTTGAGAGAGAGAGGGTAATTCTAAACAGCAGCCTCCTCCCCTAACGCAATTCTCTTCATGATAATGAACTGTGCACAATGGCTGTCTGGCGTTTGTTTACATTCGTAAAAAAATATACACAAGAATTTCTCTTTCCCTCTGCTGTCCTCTGATAGCTCAGGGGTAGAAATTTCTGATGAGTTGTGATACAGCGAAACATGCCTGTATATCGATGACATTATATATATATATATATATATATATATATATATATATATATATATATATATATACACAAAGAAATAACCAAAGAAATTACACAAGCGTCAATAATAGCAGATATTCAAAAAACATCTTTCGGTCGACATACAGGTATATCGTCTCAAGTTTTTGATTTTATAAGGAAAAAACACATGCCTGATGATGATGAATAGAAGACTATTCGTAAGGACTAGCATTTTAACATCAAATAAACTGAAAACTACAGACAACAAGTTTATCGACGAGGATCAAGCTCGCACTGTGGATGAACAGGATTTTAATGCATATATTATGTTTTCTAGCGATGGATGTCGCCAATAATCGCATTAATACTTCTGATTGATTCTATGTGTGATTATTTCTTTGTATGTAAATCATATGCTGCCTAATGTTTTTATTATATATATATATATATATATATATATATATATATATATATATATATATATAAGGCTGTATTACTCCTTTATCTTCTGATTCTGTCGGATTCTGATCCATATTTGATTCCAACTCACAAGTTACTCCAACCTCACATATTTTTACAGTGAAGTTCACTTTGAACAAAGCTCAGAGCTCACTTGAAGTAGAGTTTTGAATAGCAAACAGATGATGAATAATACTCATTTTGTTGTTGTTTCCACGTCTTGCTGTTTTTCATCAGCTACGAATATTTCTGGATGTATAAATGTTAGGCAGGTGGGGGGCTATAAATATTTACTGTTAACCTTCTCTCGACCCATGGTCTACCTCAAACAATTCGCAGCCAAGTATTTCATGCCCAAAGACTTTTCTTTTTCTCACGTCGAAAGAACCAATTGGAGAGGAGCAGTGAACGAAAAGAAAACAACATCCCTCGAAAACACCGAAAGACAAATAGAAGAGAGGAAGAGAGAGCAAAGAAAAGCCAGAGCTCTCCATCCTCTGAATCCTCTTAGGCTACCAATGTTAGGTCGAGCGCGAGTGAAACTCTGATTTCGAATACTGATTTTCAAAGATGGTGTTTTTTTCCCCGATAAATATATTTCTATCTGCTTAGTATCCTCTCCAGTCTAAATATAATTTTTACCAGCTGGGAAAGTCCATCATACATAAAATTACTTTTTAATTACCCTATATATATATATATATATATATATATATATATATATATATATATATATATATATATATATATATGTTCTGTAGTTCACTGCTACCAGCAAGCAGAAAATTATTTTTCTTCTGATGATGGCCATGTTGGCCGAAACTAGTCGAGGAATCTAAATGAAATAATAATAAAAACGAAAGAATATTAATATACAACCCAGTGTGTCTGAAGATTTTAATTTTTTAATATTTTTTATTGTTCACTATATATATACATATATATATATGTGTGTGTGTGTGTGTGCGTGTGTGTGTGTGTGTGTTTGTACGTTCGTGCGCGTGTGTGCGTCTGTGTGTGTGTGCGGTATCATGATATGTTTTTGAGTATTTATGCATGGAATATTTCACACGCTTTCAGATCGACTTAGTAGATAGATAGATAGATATATAGATAGATAGATAGATAGATAAGAGAGCAATGCCTTCGGAAGCTTCGTCTCCTGGTAGGGCCACCCATGGTGGTAAGGGTTCATGGAAGGGATCAGACTAAGTACGATCCAGCGGGTTGTGTTCAAATCGACGTTCTACGTACGAGAAAAAGTCAACAAACTGTCATCCTGAACCTGTGTGTCAAGCCCTGGTTTGCCGCAGTGGACGGTGTTAGCTGAAGGACGTGTGCTATGGATTGCCGACTGATGGACCACGTGAAACAATTCGCAGCCAAGTCTTTCAGGCACAAAATATTTTCTTCTTCTCACGTTTAAAGAACGAATTGGAGAGGACCAATCAAGGAAGAAGAAAAAAAACAACATCCCTCGAAAACACCAGAAGACAAATAGAAGAGAGGAAGAGAGAGCAAAGAAAAACCAGAGCTCTCCATTCTCTGAACCCTCTTAGGCTACCAAACGGTGAGTGCCGTCTTTATATCCAATTTCACACGGAAGGAAATGTCGATGAGCACCCCAATACTCGGCAACGAGTTCCGCCAACGATAATTCGCCTACATAGTAAAAATAAGTATGTAACACAGGTCTCAGTTATATGTTACTGTTATATTCCTTGCTAACATGAATATGGAACGGGCAAACACGGTGGATAAATAGTAACAGGTTTATTATAGAAACCAGTACAACAAGCAAGGAAGTAATAGTTATGCGCATGGTCGTCGCAAGTCAGTACAGTTGTGTGCGTGCTGCTATCAAAAGGCCGATAGTTCTTGCAGATCTTAGCTCGACTCTCCTGTCCGCTGTCCTAACGGATACTTATAGGTGGTTTTCACATTTATTTCTTTTTTTATATATTGTTGTTATATTCCATTCTAATAGGAATATAGAATGGACAAACATGGTGTATAAATAATAACTGGTTTATTGTAGATTGATATTGTAAATATAAAATTATTCTTAAAATAAACAATTTAATAAATAGTGTTTAATATTTTTGCTTTAAATTCTCAAGACCAAAAAAAAAATCTATAAATTCACTTTCATTATATATTTAGGTTTTATTATAATTCTAATCATCACTTTTGAAAACAATCAAAATGGCCGAGGAGCGAAGATAGTTAAAATAACAGCAGTATCAAGATACAAGATAAAGATACCAGTTCAAGTTATTATGAATATATTTTTTCACCTCGACTATTAATAAAAAAAGTTTTCACATTTATTTCTTTATAAATTAGTAAATGATAAATGTTGTTATATTCCTTGCTAACATGAATATGGAACGGACAAACACGGTCGATAAATAGTAACAGGTTTATTATAGAAACCAGTACAACAAGCAAGGAAGTAATAGTTATGCGCATGGTCGTCGCAAGTCAGTACAGTTGTGTGCGTGCTGCTATCAAAAGGCCCCTAGTTCTCGCAGATCCCAGCTCGACGCTATTTAGTAACTGCCCCACGCAGTCACAGGTGGCATAAGGCTGAATTTAATGTGGCCAAAAAATCCCCGTAGACCCCGCATAAACGGGATTGGGTCTGTGTACCTACCTGGACGAGACTCTGCCCTTCGGCATAGCCTCGCCCGGAAGCAGAGAGTTCGACCAGCACAGCTGGGAAAGATCCCAGCTAGACAATATTTACTAGCCCTTCGCCACGAGGGTAGATGTGGCTCAAGGCCGAATTTAACGTGGGTCTTCCGAGCCCGTAGTCTCGGCCCAAAAATCCCCGAAAAACCTGCATAAACGTGATCGGGTCAGTCTACCTCCTCGAACGAAACTCTGCCCTTCGGTAGAGCCTCGTCCGGGTTCCTTTCTGCCTGAAGGCAGAGAGTTCGACCAGCACAACTGGGAAATATCCCAGCTAGACAATATTTCGCTCCCCCCACCACCAACGAGGGTTTCATGTGGCACAAGACCGGGTTTATCGTGGGTTCTCCGAGCCCGTAGGCTTGGCCAAAATATTCCCTTTCGAACCTGTATAAACGGGTTCAGGGGCAGTCTACCTTCCCGAAAGAGATTCTGCTTTTCGGCGGAACCTCGTCCGGGTTCCTCTCTGCCCGAAGGTAGAGAGTTCGACTCTCTAGCTGGAACAGATCCCAGCTAGACAATATTTTCTTGGCCCCCACCACGAGGGAAGGAGGTGGCACAAGGCCGAGTTTTATGTGTGGTTTCCGAGCTCGTAGGTTCGGCCAAAAAATGCCCATGGAAACTATAAAAACAGAATCGGGTTGGTCAACCTCCCGGAAGTGACCCTGCCCTTCGGCAGAGCCTCGTCCGGGTTCCTCTCTGCCCGAAGGTAGAGAGTTTGACTGTCTAGCTGGAACAGATCCCAGCTAGACTCCCCCGTCCGCTGTCCTAACCGATACTTATAGGCAATTACCACCTATATTTCCGCCACTCATGGGGGTGGCAGGTTATTCCATTACATCAGTTACTGAGTGCGATTGTTAATTTTCAAGACAAGCAAATCCTCTGACGCGGTACAATCTTCCTTTTTTTTTTTTTTTTCGTATATTTCCGTCTTGTACCGGATCCAGCTCGGCTTATATACATGTCAGTACATTCAACCAAGTAGTAAACCAATGAATTCATGTGTAGATATTTACAGGCGTAGTCATTGTTATGAGTCTCTCTTATATTTATTGCCACGACTTAGTATTTGCGTATCTGTCGCCCTGTGTCTATCAACGCGATAAATAGTCGTTTTAATAGGTCTTTGCCGCAACGTTGGCCGTGCCTTCTATCGCGAATAAATCTTGGACGCTATTGGACGCTTATCTTGTTATTATTACGCGCCAAAACAATCAATGGACTGGCGCCATTTTCCTCATGGCTTCCCCTCACCACACCAATCGCTGCGGGCATCGTCTTTATAGAATATTAATGTTGCATACTTACTGACATACAAAAGCTATGTAGATGTAGCCTTTGATCAAATATATAATAACATACACTATGCAGATATACGCACGGGCACACACTCACACCTATATATGTACACGCATATATATATATATATATATATATATATATATATATATATATAATAGATGTAAATATATATATATATATATATATATATATATATATATATATATATATGGCAATCTAATGGCTGGCTGCTTTTCTCCGAGTATGCTTGTATACTAGATCGGCTAGCTAATCCCTGTTGCAGACGTTTTCTCAGGCGCATTTGTGTTTGTTCAACCCCTACAGTGGCCAACTGTGGTTTATACTGCAACAATGCGGAACAGACCTTAGTTACAGTTTCTGGTAAAGAGCGCATTATCTGAAATAGGCCAGTAGATAGATAGATAGATAGATAGATAGATAGATAGATAGATAGATAGTAATGTAAAAAAGTTCTCGGCCCGACTGGTCACTGAAATACTGATTCTGAGAAGTGTGACGTGCCGAAACCTTTTCACCAACGCTTCTCTCGCTCTCTCTTTCTCTCTCTCTCTCTCTCTTTCTCTATCTCTTTTATATATATATATATATATATATATATATATATATATATATATATATATATATGACAATATTAGTAATTTGTATAGATATTTCCCAAAGAATATAGATCCATGGAGAGCTCAATGTCAAAAACAGAGCAATAATAATTGTTATTATAAAGAAAACGAACGCTTAAAAGACCATGATGTGATATTTATTTCGTTAAGGCCGGAAAATTCTAGTTTTGAAGTGTTGGTGTCGAATTTTCCAACCCTAACGAAATAAATACCTCATGATCTGTTAAGCCTTTGTTTTCTTTATAATAACAATAATAATATATATATAATCCTAAGGCAAACATACCTAGGTTTCACCTAAACGGATCTTCAGGGTAAAGCCTGCAAGTTGAGCTACCCGAGGTTTTTCCAAACGAGTACCACAATTTATATATATATATATATATATATATATATATATATTTCTAAAGAATTAATAAACTTATTTTTAACACCCATATTTCTATTATTTCAAGCGTTATTTATTTATTGGGTACCCTAATTTGAAATAGACGGCCTAATTTTATTTTAAAGTTTGTGTTTTAAGTCTATCGTTCTGTACGCTCAAGAAATGTTAATAAAGAAGATGTGTTCTCCGGGTTAGAACCTGTGTCCTCCTTTGCGTGTTTTATTTGTGTTTTCTCGATTGTGCAGGACGACAGACGCTATATAGAGCATAACAGTTCAATAAGATGATATTTTTCATTTTAAGGAAGGCACACTTCCGCGTTCAGATTCTTCTCGAATATTTCGAAAAGTCAACAAAGCATCTGCTAATGAAATAATGGATTTATATTTAATCCGACATTTTTATTGCATCAAGCGTTATGTATAGAGTCTGATTTTCGTAAATATATTAGAGTGTGCTGCATTTAGTCCTGTTAGCGAAGTGATTTCGCCATTACTCACATTAATATTGCTAATTAATTCTTTGTATAAATTGCTTTTTTATATATATATATATATATATATATATATATATATATATATATATATATATATATATTATTGAGTTATGTGTTATTGAAGAATACGAAATTTTCCTGTTTAATAATCTTTCTCTCGATTTTTCTTACTTTCAAGTTTTGTTTTGTTTTTTGTTTTTTTTGTATTTGGGTCTAAGTAGTTGAAAAAACCTCAGTCTTTGGTGTGTTGCAGAGCGCTTTCGGGTGTTGTCAACCGTCATTATTGGTGTCTGCTTTTAGTTTGAAGCATGTTGCTTTTTTTATTTATAGGTATTATTTTGAAGTGTTCAGCGCATGTTGTTGGATTAGTTCATTAGCAATTATTTGGAGGATTAGTTATTATATATATTATTAGTTATTATATATATTAATATTAATATATTTAAGATGTTTCTGTCAGTATTAAATCCTATTTTATTTATGTCGGATTTTTGTGTTTTAATTGTAATGGCTTCGAGGATTTGTAAGCGTTTTTTGCTATTGTTTTTGTAGAGGATTTTGGTATTGTTGATTAAGATTTTTCTTATTTCGGAGGATTTAAATCTGTTATTAGTGGTATAGTGTGTTATTATAAGGTGATTTTTTTTTATGGCGCTGCTGTCATTAAGATGGTATGTAAGACGAACTTAGGAGGATTTAAATCTGTTATTAGTGGTAGAGTGTGTTATTATAAGGTGATTTTTTTTTATAGCGCTGCTGTCATAAAGATGGTATGTAAGACGAACTGAGAGAGTCGTGGTTATGTGTCCGATTTATGTACTAGGGTTGTTAGGCGATAAACACTCTCGAAACAGACATGTAAACCTGTGCACTACATTAGTTTTTATTGAGGAACGGCTTGGTGGGAATAGTATTATTTCAGATAATTAGATCTGAGGTTTTAAATTTGGCGTAGTATATTATTAATTTTTTTATTTTTTGTGTTTTAGGATGTGTTTCGTATATATATATATATATATATATATATATATATATATATATATTGATAATATTAGTGGTCAATATATACATAAGGTTAGTAATGAAAAGCAGACGGAAAATTTTCGCATATACATCGGCAGTATGAATTGGCTGGATTTTAAGTTCAGATCATATAATTTTTTATTGTGCCTAATGTCACCACAAATGTATCCACACATTTCCGGTGTCTGTTTTTTAATTTTAATTTTAGGTCAGCGAATCGGTAGCGAATTATGCATCTGAAAATAATTCATATTTATCTGTATCTCACTCATTTAAACCGTTATTTAACTCCTCTCTTTAAAACTTCTCTCAGCTAAATTTTAATCCCGACCTTCACCTTTAGGAATTCCTGTTCTTCTTTCTTCTGTTACACCCTCTCTCTAGAGCTTTCATACATTTCCCTCTCACGCTTGTTTCCCACTCCCACACATACATTCTCACTATTTTTTTTTTATACCCAGAGTTATATTTTCCAATTTCTTTTTGAAATTGTAGGTTATAGGAATTGGATCGTGATTACGATTCCAATGTAATAAATTATAACCATGGAATATTAGTGTTTGAGCCTTTTATATTATATTATATCTATCTATCTATCTATCTATCTATCTATATATATATATATATATATATATATATATATATATATATATATATATATATATGAATAGGGAGAGAATGACCTATAGATAATTGTTAGTTAGTAGTGTCTCTTTATGGTGCATATATTCACACTCACTACTCCTAACTCATAAACAGATTTTACGTTCCTACACAAATCCCGCGGAGAGAAATATTCGAATGTTCTCACTAATAATTAGACGCATGTTTCTGAGACCTTCTGTCAGTCATTATATGCACAAACATGCTCAGGATGGGAAACAAAGAAAGAAAGAAAGCGAGAAATGGTGGAGGAAAGTAATTATATGAAAGTGAGTGAGAGAGAAAAATGAAGAAAGAATGGGTAAATGAGAGAATGTGTTTTGGAAATGGAAGGGAAACGCCTTCACAAACAAATTTATGCATGCGTGCTATGAAATATATTAACAAAAGAAATATAGGCACTCAAATGTGATTTCTCCGTACACGCACATGTGCGTATACATATGTATGTCGATAGATATAGATATAAATAGTGGTGTCATATAAATCAACCCTGTTTTTTGACTGGCAATCACAGAGCTTCTAATTTCATTCCAGTTTCAACATTCTAATGTCTACTATTTCCAAATTTAAGTACATTTCTACAATTCAATTTAAACAATATGGCGGACACTCTCGTGGTAGACGACAAATGAGTTATCAGTAAAATAAAGAGAGGCTCAATATTTATGGCGAAGCATGTAAACAAATGAGGGATCAGTAAGATAAAGAGATGGTCGGCATTCATGAAGAAGCATCTAAACAAATGAGGGATCAGTAAAATAAAAGACATGCTCGGCATTTATTGAGGAGCGTGTGTTTCTCATGGTATACAGGATTTTATAAACTTTTAGATAGATGGAACATGCGGTTGAGCCATTTTTCTCGAGTGTGTTTACTGAACCAGCTGCACATGACTTATTTATAGCTGGCATTGCTTGTGCAGCACAGTGCACACACTCTCCATCGAAACAGCATAGCTGATACTGTTGCACGGTTTGTTCCTATGAAGTAAAATTGGCGCTGATCTTGAAAATGACATTCAATCTGTTGTTACATGGGGCAACAAATGGATTGTAAATTTTAAGGTCTACTAAATGAAACTACTGTCTTTTGGTCATCTCGGATAACCAATTTTTGCCTTCCATCGTTATGGCTGATGCTAACCACCCGTGCAGCAATTTATTGCGCCTTCTCAGTATCACGTTTTCCACTGACCCAATTTTCAAACACTGAACAAACACCAAAATTTGGTGTGGAAGGAATTCTTGACCGGACCGAGTACTTTTTATTTACTCTCGTATTGAGATACCGAGTACTTTTTATTTACTCCCGTATTGAGATACCGAGTACTTTTTATTTACTCTCGTATTGAGATTGTATATTGAATACGCAGGGTTCAGGTTAGGGTCATTGTTAACTGCATATTGTAGATTAGAAGTCCCTAAACTACTCGATATTGACCCCTGGAAGTTGATGGAACAATCCAGAAGATTGATATTTTTCTGGTGGGTCAAAAATCCTCAAGAGACGCCATTCCCCAATCCCAGTAGACTACACGGCGGAGTATGGAGCCATATATATATATATATATATATATATATATATATATATTATCTGCCGTCCTGCACAATCGAGAGACTCAGATAAAGGACGCCAAATCAAACGGTGGTTTCGCCTGCAAAGGGGGACACAGGTTCTAACCCGGAGAACACATCTTCTTTATTAACATTTCTTGAGCGTACAGAACGATAGACTTAAAAAACATACCTTAAAATAAAATCAGGGCGTCTATTTCAAACTAGGGTATCAAATAAATAAATAAATAAATAACGCTTGGAAATAATAGAAATATGGGGATTAAAAATAAGTTTATTAATTCTTTAAATATATACATATACATACATATATATATATATATATATATATATATATATATATATATATATATATATATATTTATTTAAAAATATGATTCCAAATCGCGACATAAGAAGTCCCATGTTTCAAAACAAGAGCCGAAAACTTCAATATAATTATTTAAATTAAATTGAGTTAAAATAAGCTCTGTTCCATCATCAAGCGAAATTTTTTTGGAATAACGTGTTTCTGAAATTTACGTGTTTTAAAATTGAAATCAAAATTTCCATGGTAACAGCTAGGGCGAATTGTTTAAGTTGGGTAGGCGGGTGTTGGGTGTTAATAATAAGTATCAGTATAGAGTTACTTTCGTAGATGTCAAGTCAGGGAAAGGTGGGGGTGTCTAAATTTGAAACGGAAGATGTATTAACCCTCGTCTAGTTTGCATATCTATGGAGATTTATTTATTTTTTTATTTTATTTTTTATGAAAGGGATTTGTGCATATCAAAAAAAAAAAAAATATATATATACATACATACATACATATATACACACACACACACACATATATATATATATATATAATAAAAGCTTAAACACTAATATTCCATGGAATATTAGTGTTTAAGCCTTTTTTTATTATATCCTTACTCTGTCCTAGACATTGAGTTCTACCTGGATCCTTCCTCTTGGAAAACATTTTTTTCTGAAAATATACATGTATGGGAATTTTTATATATATTTTGCATATGTATGTATATTTTCCACTAATATTATCTATCTATCTATCTATCTATATATATATATATATATATATATATATATATATATATATAAATTGTGGTACTCGTTTGGAAAAACCTCAGATAGCTCAACTTAGAATATATATATATATATATATATATATATATATATATATATATATATATATATATATATATTTGTATCCTGATACCTTCCTCGTTCGGAAAGTCAAAATTTTCGCTCTTTTTATACAAGATCTTTGATGTCCTGGAAGATTTTGCTCCGTTCCCAGCATCAAAATATCGTTTGTGAAACAATGAAGGTAGAATTGGGTTCTGTGTTTCTGTATCGACCTCTGAAGTCCAGTAACATTTTAGTTCCTTGATTGTTTTAATCTCTTGTGATTTGGATGCCATGCCAGATTTGAACTTAACTCTTATTGAATAGCATTCCATTGCAATTTACCCAACTGCACGCTTCATGCTAAAGTTCGCGGAAAATTATTCATACAACCGGTTGAGGATAGAGACCTTTGGGGTGTACAACATCGTAACCTCCGCGCAGCGTAGAAGATTTGAGAAGTCGATAAGAAAGTCAAAATATGTCTTTCAACGTTTGGCAGTAACGTTCTAATCTATAAAGTTGTCCAATTACTTGTTTTACAAGTCACGGAAATTTTGTTGGTGAAGAGTGGCATGCCTGAGGGAAGGCGGCTATCATATCCAGGCAGGATGGATACACGAGATATGTCTGCTAGGCAGATCTCTTATGCTTTTATTCATTTATTTCTATTTTCGATATTTATTTATTTTGACACCCTCAGGGAATATATGAAATCCGCCATTTTAAAGACCCTGAAAAAACATCCTCGACTTCTCCTGAAGGATAAACCGCGACAAGTTCGACAAGAAAAACCACAGGCATGAACTCTTGTCCAAATATATATATATATATATATATATATATATATATATAAAGACATACATACAATGTATATATATTCATATACATATATGTGTGTGTGAGTGTGTGTTTACTAAGATAACATAATTGTCAAAGGGATCACCAAAATAACTATAGAATACAGCTCTCTGCTCGTACTGCAAAAATATAAGAAGGAATAAACAAAAACAAAAAAGAATCGATGAGGAAAACTAAAAAGAAAAGCTAAAGAACGAAAGGAAGAAGCATATTGTAAACTGAAAGAAAAGTCAATGAAAGAAAGAAAGAAAGTAAGAAAGAAAGTAAGAAAGAAAGAAAGAAAGAAAGAAAAATATGTAGAATGACAGAAAGAAAGACAATACCTAAAAAGAAAGAAAAATAGAAAGAAATAGAATATGAAGAAAGAAAGAAAGAAAATACGGAGAAAGAAAAAACAAAAGAAAATACGGAGAAAAAGAACGAAAGAAAGAAAGAAAGAAAATGCGTAGAAAGAAAGACAGAAAAAATCATACTATAAACTAATAGAAAAACTGAAGAAAGAAAGAAAGAAACAAACAAACAACATTCTGAGAAAGAAAGAATCGTAGTGTAAACTAAATAAAAGGCCAGTGAAAGAAAGGAAGAGAATATGGAGAAAGAAAGAAAGAAAGAAAGAAAGAAAGAAAGAAAGAAAGAAAGAAAGAAAGAAAATACAGAGAAAGAAAGAACAAAAGAAAATACGGAGAAAAAGAACAAAAGAAAGAACGAAAGAAAGAAAGAAAATGCGTAGAAAAAAGACAGAAAGAATCATACTATAAATTAATAGAAAAACCGAAGAAAGAAAGACAGAACGAAAGAACATTCTGAGAAAGAAAGAATCGTAGTGTAAACTAAAAGAAAAGCCAATGAAAGAGAGAAAGAGAATATGGAGAAAGAAAGAGCGAAAGAAAGAAAATACGGAGAAAAAAAGAACAAAAGCAAATACTGAGAAAAAAGAATGAAAGAAAGAGCGAAAGAAAAAAAGCCAGAAAGTATCATACTGTAAAGTAAAAGAAATACCAAAGAAAGATTCATACTGGGAACTTAAATGAAGAAAGAAAGAATGAATGACCGAAAAATACGGAGAAAGAAAGAAAATTTGGAGAAAGAAAGAATTTTCGTGTAAACTATAAGAAAAGCAATAAAAGAAAAGAAGAAAATATGGAGAAAGACAGACAAGAAGAAAATACCTAGAAAGAAAGAAAAATATAAAAAATCATACTATAAACTAAAACAAAAACCAAAGAAAGAAAGAAAGAAAGAAAGAATACGGAGAAAGAAAGAAAGAAAGAAAGAAAGAAAGAAAGAAAGAAAGAAAGAAAGAAAGAATACGGAGAAAGAAAGAAAGAAAGAAAGAAAGAAAGAAAGAAAAGAAAGAAAGAAAGAAAGAAAGAATACGGAGAAAGAAAGAAAGAAAGAAAGAAAGAAAGAAAGAAAGAAAGAATACGGAGAAAGAAAGAAAGAAAGAAAGAAAGAATACGGAGAAAGAAAGAAAGAAAAAATACGGAGAAAGAAAGAACGAAAGAATGACAGAAATTGTGTAGAAAAAAGAGAAGAAAGAATTATACTGTAAACTAAAACAATAACCAAAGAAAGAAAGAAAGAATCATACTGTGAACATACGGAGAAAGAAAGAATTATAGTTTAAACTGAAAGAAAAACCAGAAAGAAAGAAGCAATGTCACAAGCAAAGAATATTGTAACAGTGCATAATCACTTAATAGAAACGAGACTATTTTTATCCACTAAAATATCTGAAACAAGAAAGGAAAAGATGACCAAATCGTAAAAGAAACGAATCAAAAGCCTGCGGCAAACGAAGGGCGGTTTAAAAGCAACGAGATTGTGGTGGGTGGGGTGACAATGACAATCTCCATAACAACCACCATCTAATATATAAACTATTCCAAAAGTGGTTATCAGCGTCTGACCCCCGCCATAACACCAGGAATGCTATTACCGGCGGCCAAAGACATAACAGATCGATAAGTAACTAATCGATAATAAATAGGCAGAAGAAAGAACAAAAATGTTTTAATGGCGGCAATCCGGAGCGTGTCTACTTTCTAAAAAAAATCCGCTGAAATCGATCTCAATCCTCTTCCTTTCATTTCTGACCTAAGAATAAACACGAACTACAATTATTAATAATTTAGCTTCGTCTGTTATAAAGCCAGAAGAATAGGGCACCCAATGAGGGCCGAATTCACGATGGTAGTAATGATTTTTTAGTTGACTTAATCTACATTGAGACAACCAAAATGCAATTATTTTTATTAATATGTATATTGAAGTAAGGCCGGAGATGGTTTCATAATGGCCTGCGATCAGGAAAGATTTAGACTTAGCATTTACCATCATTACTCGTAAAATAATGGGGTTATTTATGTATGAATAGGCGGTAAGACAAAGAACCTCTTTACGCAACCTTTTATCAGCGTCGCTTGCAAGCCATCTATCTACAATCAGACTGCCATCAAAGTGTAGTATCTGCCCTCGGGTGAACAAACTACATTTTATCTCTCAATTGTGTCTCTGTCTTCGGGCAGAGCTCAGCTAAAAATAGGGACATGGGCCCGGGGAACGCCTGCCCTGGAAGTACCTCCACTCATTGCACTGAAGCGGTGGGTCGGTAGTAATACGGATGCTAGGACCAGCGATGGTTGCGGCCACTGGGCTTAATTTTAGATTTGCCCCGTGTGCACACACGCGGGATCCTCACATTAAACTGACCTTGTGTCAGATCCTGCCAGCGTAGGGCGGCAAGTAAATATAATCAGAAGGTTATAGCCCGGATGGAATCAAAGTGAATTATCTGTCCTTTTGGAGATTACCTTGCCAAAGAGGTTCCAGCCCTGTGGTAGCATCTCTCTCATTGCACCGAAAGTGAGAATTGGTGAATACTATCGCCGGCGTGAGAGTGGTCTTTGGAAATTGGACCACATGTACATGTATGGACACCCCACATTAAAACGACCTTGTGTCACATTCCAGCACCGTTGTGGGAAGACTAAGTACAATCAGACCGTCTAGTTCAAACATTCAACTGTTATTTAGTCAAATGTGTGCATTCATAAATAATAATATTTGGACCTTGAAAGAGAATTGTTGTTGTTCACGTTAAGGTTAAGTGTTTTAATTTTTTGTTATAGTAGATAATTTAATTTTCTGGTTCCCGTCGGCTAGGAATTGAGCATTTCTTTGTAATGTTTCTAAGGGAAAATCCATGCTGCTTTTTATATTTTAAAAAATATTACTTTCATTGATTTTATCTGTATACTCAGTGCTGCTATTGCTTATCTTAAGAAATCTAATTTAGTGATCTATGAGGTAGTCAGGAAAACCGTTATTAACTAGCGTCTTGGTTATTGAGTTATTTAAAGAAAAACGAAAAAGTGGTTATATATATATATATATATTTATGTTTAACGTTGTTATTTTATAGATACAAGTATTTAAGCAAATGCTCTGTTTATGATAAACAGTATTAAATAACATTTACCGGCCTGAATGTCCGAGAAATTTTCATAGAAAATATTCGTTCATAGACAGGATTCGAACCTGCATCCTATACGGAACTGTCATATACGCTGACATGCCTTAACCACTCGGCCACCATGAACCTTATGGTAGACAAGGTCGAATTTACTGTTATAAACTACAATCTTCCATGAATCTCGTACATTCATAACTGCTCTGGCGTATCGAATGTAAACAAATGACGTCATATGTTAAGAAATGGACAATGGTCCGACAATTTATTTATTAAAAAACATTTTTTATTTAAATGTTATTTAATGTTGTTTATAGAAACAGAGCATTTGCTTAAATACTCATTTATCTATAAAATAACAACGTTAAACATAAATAAAAAATGTCTTTAATAAATAAATTGTCGGACCTTGTCCATTTCCAACATATATATATATATATATATATATATATATATATATATATATATATATATATATATATATATATATTAAACGTTATTAAAGTGCATTGACAAAAAACAAGAATATTAAATTAATTATCTACTGTGAAAAAAAATTGCTAACTCCATTGTCGACCATAATAACTCGCCTGCAAGTTCTAGAGAAGCAATATTATTATGATTTTGCATGTCCATTAACAGACTCTATTGCTGACCAATCCAAATTCATAAATAATTATACTGGATATACTACTACATGCTTAAAAAAGAAGACTTACTTTACAACTCTATGACCATGGTCATTTGCAATTTTACACCTTAATCAATTAACAGATCGTTGTTTGCCATGATGCAGCCATTGATTTCTATGTCCACACAAACACACACACACTATATATACATGTATATGTGTGTATATATATATATATATATAATCTAAAGAGCCAGATAGATCTACCAAGTTTTCACCTACGCGGATCGTCAGGGAGTACTGGCTAAAGAGGTTTTATTAGGTTTGCTCTACTTAGCGTATTGAGCACTTTACTTACTCGTATCGTTTTTTTTTTTTTAGGGGGGGGGATCTGAACTTGGATGCCAGAAGATTGTTTTCGGCTGACGTACACGTTCTCTGTTCTTTCTTTTTTTTTGTACCTTTTTTTCTCTGTTTATTCACATATCAAAGTCCCCAAGGTTTTCCGGACGAGTATAATTTCTTATATTTATAAGATTATTACTATATATATATATATAACTAATAACTGATACATCAAAATACAGCGATAATGAACTTGCAAACACCCCTTGTTTAGATGAATGGGTTTCTCTGTATCCTTGGAAACGAGAATTATGATTTTTTGCTGTGCCTTTAAATTTTAATTTTAAAAGTTACTCTAAAATTCGCTTGAGGATGAAATGGAACTAATGTCTTTAATTAAATTACAAAATTAAATTCGAAGCTTTTAGCTTCCATTTTCGAAACATGGTAGCGAAAAAGCCATATTTTAAATCAATTAATTTATAATATATATATATATATATATATATATATATATAATCAGCAGGAGAAGTAGTCATTGCTTGTCCCCTGCTTTCAAGATGATAGTGAGTATTTTCTACCCTGCCTCTATTCCATTTCTTTATCTTCTAACTGGTCATTAAACTGTCCTCCATTTGCCATTAATGACACACGTGATGTTAAATCTCTCTATTAAAATGTTTTTTCCGGAAAATAGGTTTGTCATCTTAAGTGTAATCGGACTTTCCGGTATTAACGGTGGTTTCTCTCCTAACCATTCTATAAGGTAACATGAACAGTGTTCATCGTTATCATTTTCTTTTCGAATTATATCTGCTATCCATTTCAGTAATTGCAGCTGTTGGAAGTCTTCAAGTGATGTGCTTTTTGCTATTGTGAAAAGTTATTTTGGACAGTGCTTAGAACGTTCACTTTCGGACAACGAGACCCCGGTTCGAATCTCACAAGTGTCGATTTTTCAGAAAGATGAATTTTTGATGTTACCAATCTGGGAGAGGCGATCGCAGCTTAAAAACTTTATGAGTGAAATTGGGTAGATAGACCTCTTTGGAATCCGTCGATGGTTGTGCTAGCACGAAATCACAAGTCAGCGTGACCGAGGGTTTGAGTGTGCTGGCTTTGATCAGATTGTTGATCACGCTAGATAATACGCTCTCTCCCAGAAACTGTAACTAAGGTCTGCTCAGCATAGTTGCAGTAGAAACAACAGGTGGGGTCCGTAGGTGTTGAACAAACACAGATGTATCTGAGCAGGCGTCTTCAATAGGGATTTCTTAGCCGCACTAGTAGACGAGCATCCGAGGATACGAGTGGCCAGCCATTACATGAGTCAAGTTCAAGGGTTAATATTTTGGTTCTGTTACGGTAAGTGCGACTCTGAGATCCGAAGACGCATTCCAAAAAGCTAGGCAGAGTATTACGAGCAGGAGGAAAGTGTACTGAACTGCTGATATCTGAAGGGACACGGCCCATAAAAGAAGAAGAATAGTAGGTAAAAAGAGAGCAAGAAGAATGGACTAAGCATAAATATCTGGGAAGTATTCTGACAGAGGACGGTAAGCGCAACGCTGATATCCGAGGACGTATCGGGGTAACCCAAGACGCATTCCAAAAGCTAGGTAAAGTATTACGAGACAGGAGGATTTCTTTGGTAACAAAGAAAAGAGTACTGAACAGCTACGATGAAGAAGACACTCGAGACAACAGAGGTATTGTTCCACAGAAGGATGCTAAGGATAGTATGGACCGAGCGTAAGAGCAACGAGGAGGTTTTGCAGAGGTTGCAAACAAGAAGGAAGCTTATACTTGACATCAGAAAGAGGCAAATGAAATTTCTGGGACACGTAATGAGAAAGGAGAGATTGGGGAGCCTGATACTCACAGGTCGAATAGAGGGAAAGAGAGACAAGGGAAATCAACGCATGACATACCTGGCGGGCTTAAGCAAGTGGATGACAGAACATGGCCGGTGGGGGGGTAGCCAAACTTATTGAGAGTTACAAGGGATAGGGGAAAGTGGAGAGCCATGATCGCCTACATCCTGAAGAAAGAAGTTGTGCTTCATGCTTTCCGAAAGTTGTTACTCTCTTCATTTGAG